CTCTTCTCGTACATACACTCGACCATACTGTATAGATACAAAATACAAGCTCATATATAAACGCCACGCATAAAAGGCGATTTTGAGATATCTACACGATGGATACCGAGCAAAAAGACGCGTACACGTGTCCCAGCTTCAACAGCTACTCTTCATTAGCGCAGGTCGCCGCGAAAGCAGCGGCCGGAGGCCCGAGCGCCGCCGCAAGGATCGGATCACATGACGGCGGCGACGACGACGACGACGACTTTGAATTCGCCCCTGTTCGCGACGGAGGGGAGATCTCACCCCTCGATTTCGCCGGAGACGCCCAAAACGGTACCCTATTCCCATTATTCAATCCAGACCTTTTGCCAGACGAAGAAAAACAGCCGGAGTCGCGCGTCGCGGCTCCGCTGAGCAAGCTCTTCGCCGAGGGCCGCGGAGAAAATCCGGCGTCGTGCTCGTCGTCGGAGGCCGACGAGCCGGAGGACTTCCCAGCTGGCGCGTACTGCGCGTGGCATCCGTCGCCTGGCCGGTGCAGGAAGAGCAGCTCGACGGGGTCGGCGCTCAGGCGGTGGAGTATCCGTAACCTGCTGCGCAGCAGCAGCGAGGGGAAGGGCAAATTCGACATTTTGGCGCAGAAAAATAGGGAGGACCGGTTGCCGGTCGAGGAAACAAATAGAAAAGGCGCGCGCTCGGCTCACGAGGCGCTTTACCTACAGAACCGAGAGGCAGCGGAAGGGAATAAGAAGAAATCGTATTTGCCTTACAGACGAGATATCGTGGGGTTTTTCGTTAACGTCGACGGCTTGGGCAAAGGTTTCCCGCGCTTCTAACTTTTTTTTTTTTTATTTATTTATTATTATTATAATTATTATTTGGGGTACAATATGTATGTATCTAATTTTTGTGATAATAATTGGAAATTACCATTTGTGTTTTGTCTTCTTAACAAGATTTAATTAAATGTATTTATCGGCTATATCGATTCTACTCACACCGTTGGATCACCCCCACTCACACATGATTTCAAATATTATGTACATATATATAAAAAAATAAAATAAAATTATATTAAATTAATATTCGCGAACATTATCGAACGAGTTCATGTTCTTCGTTCGATTATTAAACAAGTCTCTGTTCGAGCACGACTCGATTAACAAAGGAACGAGTTTTATTTTGTCGAACAAGAACGAGCTCAACGTTCTTTTCGTTAACAACCCTACCTCCCATAGACGGATCTAGATGGGGTCGGGCCCCCCTGATATTTTTTTAAAAAATCAATATGTATATATATGTAATATTATAAAATGTATAGAAATGTACAATAAAAATTGTAATATAATAATAATTAAAACTTAGTAAAAATCAAAATATGTATATAAAAAAAATATTATAAAATATGTATAGAAATATAATTTTTTTTATAATATATTAATAATTAAAACTTATTTCCTATCCGTTTTTTATTTAAATTAGTAATATTATTTATTTATTGAAAAAATTATTAACAATTCTTATATTTTAAATTTATAGATAAGTTTTTTAAAATATTATAATGATTTACTCTTTCGGTCTTCTAATTATAAATCGTTTTAATTGTTTATAAAACAAAGTATTTAGTTGGATTATTATACTTTTTAGTTTTGACTTTTTACTCTTTTTTTTTGTGTCATCACATTTTTTAAATTTATATATTTTTTTTCTTGAAAAAATATTTATTTGGTAAGCTCTCATTAACAAAAATGTTATGTAATGTGGCGCAAAAGTCCAATTTAAATCAATTTTTCGATGAAAAAAATATTTTTTCATAAATTATAATACATGAAATTTTTTTTATTTTTTTTTATAAGTTTGTGGGTTAAGTTTTTAAAAAACTTGATGGTACACATATCTATATCTATATTTATAGTAAATACATTTTTTTATAAAATGAGTAATTCGACTTAAACTACAAGATCGGTATTTAACA